CTGCGGCGCCGCCTGGAGCTCCTGCGCGGGGGCGCCGGCCTTGTCCCCCGCGCTCTGCCGAGCCGTGGCCCCCTCCAGGGGCGGCAGCTCGAGCGAGGGCGCCTGCGGCCCCGCGGCGCCCCGTGCGCCGTGCCCTTTTGGCTGCACTCCGTTCAGGCCCGCCCCCAATCTGGCCATCGCTCGGACGTCCATTCCCTGTGTTTCTGGTTCGGCTTCGTGCGGTCAGGCCTGCGTCCAGGCCTGAACGCCTCCAATCTGGCCCGCACTGCGTTCAGGCCCGCCTCCCATCTGGCCATCGCTCGGACGTTCATTCATTCCCTGTGTTTCTGGGTCGGCTTCGTGCGCGGTTTTTTCGCAGGATGATCCAGGATGCTCCTTGATAATCCCCGCAGAGAAAAAGTGCACAGGTCCGAGCGATACCTAGCACGGCGGCGCGGTGCGTACAGTCAACCCGTGTAATCAGAAGGACGCACGCGAAGGACGCCAGGGCCTTGGGAAGCCGTGCCGACACTCTGCGAGAGGGGCGCGGCCAGGAAGAGCGGCCAAGGATGGGCCGAAGGAGAATGATGCAAGGGCAACTTTGGATCCTTACTATGCGGGTTGACTGTGGCTCCCCAGCACTGAGGGCCGAACGTCGGCGGCGAGCGAGGGATGGAAGTGAGAAGGAGAAGGCTTTCCCAGAAGGCGGCAGGGGCTTCTCGGAAGCCCCCGCGCCTTCTGAGAAGTCTTCTGCGTCTTCGGGGAAGGCTTAGAAAACTTCTCCGAAGGCCTTGGGACCTCCGAGTCTTCTGAGAAGGCCTTCTCCTTCTCACTTCACCCAAGGCTCGCCGCCGAGAAAGAACCGTGCCACTCCTGGGTCGAGGATTGACGACGCCTCGCGAGGCGTCAACGCGGCATGGTGCACGCGAATCGTCTGTGGACAGGGGTCTCCAGCAGGCACCGCTTCAGGACAGAGGCCTCCTGAGAGGCGGGGACGGAGAGGACGATGAGGGACTGGAGACCCAAACCCCCGACGTCGTGATTTTTTCGCAACGTCGACCCCGAGAGGTCTGGACCCCTTCCCTGGGACCGGTCTGTCGTCCTGAGTCGTTTTTTGACGGCCCCGAGGCCCAGTGAGGGCCCCCGGAGGCCGAAAATCAGGAAAAACCTCCCGTCACGATTTTCTCACTGCCCGAGGGGGTCTGGGACTGGAGAGGCTGGATAAACACGCACGATGCGGGGCTTCCATCCCGAAGGTCACAGGACGAGACCCCGACGCCTCGTTCGTTCGTCTGGGCGGGGAGGAGGCAGGCGCCGCTCCGTGGCCGAGGGCGCTCGCTCCGAAGATAGGAGACGCAACAGTCGCTTCTGCAATTCCTCCTCCTCCTCCTCCTCCTCCTCCTCCTCCTCCTCCTCTTCCTCCCTCCTCCTCCTCCTCCTCCTCCTCCTCCTCCTCTTCCTCCCTCCTCCTCCTCCTCCTCCTCCTCCTCCTCCTCCTCCTCCTCCTCCGCCTGATGCGCGCCCCCGAGGCCACACTCCCCCGCAAGACGCGGCGGCCTCGCACCCCCCGAGGCCACGGTCCTCTGAACACTGCACACAACGGATTCGCGCTCCCGAGGCCACGAACCCAAGCTGTGATTTCCCAGGACACACAAACAAAGGCACACACACACACACACACACAGGACACACAAATAAACACACACACACACACAAATAAACATATGCCCCCTATTTTCCCGTATTTTCTGGGTTTGTGTCTTCCCCTCCACTTCCCATATTTTCCCATATTTTCTGGGGAATCGAAGATTAATTGTGTCTGTGTGTTTTTTTCCCTCCTGACTTGCATGTGCTCGCGGGGGCGCTTTTCCGCGCCCCCGCCGGTTCCTCACAATTCTGCGCTGGACCCTCCGCCGCGAGTACTCGGAAATCGCGAAGACCGCACGGAACCCAAAGACTGCGACGATCTCCGCGGCAAGACCTATGGGCCTGAAGCTAGGTTGGTGGAGCCGTGGAATACGATGCCTCCCAGAGCGGCCACGAACACTTGAGACCAAAAAAGCAAACCAAACCCGTGAACCAAAATGGCTACGGAAACTCAGAGGCGGTGATGATGTTATCCGCGAGCTGCCTGGCATTTTCGCTCGGAACATCCTCAACGTTCTGAATATCGGACGCACCGCTCACGCAGATCGGGACGTCAGGGTCCACAAACACACATACACACAGCTTGTCCATACCTTTCAAGACAAGCTGGTGTTCAATGACGCTGCACAAATTTGTTAGAAAACACATAGAGTGTATGTGCGCTTGTTCAATGGTCGTCTGCGTAATTCGTCAGCAGGTTGCGCTACAATATTCGAATGCCATGGATGCCCTTTAATTTGCACATGGTTGCAAGAAGCACAGTACTCTGTACTTCCCCAATCAGTGCTTGCACTGAAGGGGTCCTCGCGGATGTTGAAAGATTTGGCGAAAGTGTCCCGCCGATTTTGGTTGCTGGCTGGGTTCCCAGGTTCCCCGTTCTGGGTTCCTGGGTTCCCGGTTCTGGGTTCCGGGCCGATTTCGGAGGGCGGCGAGGTTCCCGGGTTCCCGGGTTCCTGGTCGATCTTCTTATCGGTCCCACCATCGATCTCATTACCCACTTCTATATCGATCTCACCATCGATCTCACAATCGACCTCACTATCGATCTCACAAGCGATCTCACTAGAGATCGCATGAGCGATCTCGCGATCGATCTCACTATCGATCTCATTGAATCGATTTCGCTCTCAGTCTCACGATCGACCTTACAATCGTCCTCACTATCGATTCCACTATCGATCCCATTATCGATCTCACCATCGATCTCAAGATCCATAGTATCAATCCTCAAATCAATTGGGGCTGTCTCAGGTGTAATGAATTCCCAGTGTAAGTCAACACTGTTCCAGCCTTTGCTCGTTCATACCTACGGGGGCGCGTCTCAGCATCTCGTAGAATCGCAGGCTGCGGCAACCCCATCAGCGAACCCCAGCACTTCCTGTAGAGAGGAATAGCGAGCGGGAGAGACGTGAGCAGAAAGGCCCAGGTCCCCCAATTACCCGAATCTCCCAGTCGGTCAAATGACGATCCCCAGAAGCCAAGGAGGCCCGAGAGTCCGAGACGGCCGCTCCCAAAACGATCCAGGAGGGCCCTGGAACCCTCTTGGACGCGCCTGGGGGCTGCCTTCGGGGCCCCGCGGGCCGGCCCCTAAAGACCAAAATCATTAGACAGCCTTGGCTTCACACGCATCCTGACCTGCTCGGCCTTTCGTCCTGAAGCACGCGCACAACGGCCCAAGAGGCCTCCGAGATCGTTCCAGGACGGCCCAAGAGGCCCCCAAGGCGGCATCAAGAGGGGCCCAAGAGAGGGAACTCGGACTGACAATTCGAGCTCCCACCCCCAGGACTGCCTCCGAGATCGCCAAGGCACGCCCCCAGGAGGTCTCCAAGAGTCCCCCAGAGAGGCCCCACACCAGCCTCCACAAAGCGCCCCCAAAGACCCCGAGATACATGCAAGAGGTACGTGGTTGGGAGCGGGTTTGGCCGAAGGCCACCGGATGCACACTCAACAGATCACACAACAGGGACACTCTCGCAGCAAAGCCGCAGGGCTGCGCAGTGGCATTGCGCACAAAAACAGTGCCTTCCTCCTGGGCCCCCCCCCTTCAAAATTCCTCCTCCTCCTCGTCCATCGCCGCATCATCAGAAGCAACAGGGGCGGTGCCTTCCCCTCGAGAGGCTCCAGCCTCATGGTCCTGCTCCTGCCCGCGCGTCTGGCACACGCGCAGATCTTCGGTTCTCCTCATGTCTTCCACCTTCCCCTCTGCCCAATTCTCTCACTCCCCCCCTCCAGTTCCCGCTACTTCTCGCTCCCTATGATTCTCCATATCAGCACTTCTCCATACGTGGTCGTCACGCATCGCATCCACCTCGCGCGTGTCACTGCAATCGTCCCATTCGAGCAGGTACGGCAACCCGCCCAAACAGCAATGATTGTTGTTTGGGCGGGTGGCCGTATCTGCGGGTAGGAAGTTCCTACCCGCGAGCGTCCCACCCCAGGGCAAGAAGAGGAATGGGTAAAAGGTGGATGATACGGCTGGGTGAGGAAGAAGAACGAGGAAGCAGGAGACTGAAGAGGGGCAGGGAGAGAAGGAAGATGATGAGAATGAGGGGACTGGAGAGGGGAAAGAAGAGAAGGCTGGAGAGGAGTAGGGAAAATGAAGCGGAAGAAACTGGATTGTAGTGCCAACTACACGCTCTCCAAGGCAACGGATTTGGTACTGGGTACGTACGTATCGTTTTCGCCAACGCTTCCAACGATATGAAAAACATGCGCCGTGGAAGCCGTCGGGGTCCAAATCGAGCGGCGCTCCTCCTCATCCCCCTCTTGCTTTTCCGTTTGCTTGTCAACGCATGCCTTTGGAGAGGGGGGGGAAGAGGGGGGGGGGAAGAGGGGAAGACGCGAACAGCCGACCTTCGCTTCGCTCAACGACATGCGTGCCACCTCTGAGTGCGATGCCCAGCCCCCACGCACAGGAGCAGTCAGCGGTCATAAGCAAAATGTGCCTGTCAGAGCGCTCCGCGCGGAGGAGAACGGACCTGGACAGACCATCCCCGCGCCCACACGCCGACTGATCGACCTGATCACGATCGTCGTGCGCCCTCACGGGCCGCGCATGAAAGAGGAGGCAAGGACGGAGGAGAGGAAGGGAAGATGAGAAGGAGGGCGAGGAAGGGGACGACAGCAACTCGCAAGAGGCGTGCGCATGCTCTGCGTGGCAGAGAGGGCGGCAGGAATGGTGTTGGGCCGCCCGAAAGACCCCACCCTGGCTCGAAAATGGCAGCCGCAGGAGGAGCAGGATGAAAGGGGGCAGGAGCGCTCAATAAGTGAAACACGTACCCAACATGGCCAGCCCGAATCATCACTCTTCCACCGCTCCATGGCCGGTTACCCACATACGCTAGCAGCCTACCTACGGACCATTTTCAACAGGTCCTTTCATCCTGCTTCGGTTTCTGCTGCTGGTCCACCTCCTTCTAGGTCCTAAAAATATGTCCTTCCTTGTTTTTCGTTCCACCGATGCATTCCCTCTGAGGCGCGTCGCGTGTTCCTTCGCCAAATCGTCGGGACCAGGGCCAGGCGCGAGCGAGTGGTTGCTCTCGCCCCAAAAAAGCATGCGTTTTCCCTGGAAGTTGCGTTCCCATGTGGGCGCAGTGCGTGCATTTGCCTCGCCAGCATGCGAGGCCGCGCGCCAGCGTGAAATGCTGTTTTCGCCTCAGAGCCTAGGCTCTTCTGAGAATGCGCTCCAAATGTTGCCAAGCGCTTGTCTTTCCTTCGCAGCGCCGTCGGAATCAGGGCCACGCGTGAGCGAGTGCCTCCGATTGGCAAGGTACGAGCGCTCGCCAGACGCAGATTCCAGCTGCGCCGACATCGGCTCTGACGTTTTTGGAGGGCTGATGGGAGCGGACAGGTCCAGCTGTCTCGATCAAGCTGGCTAGTTGTGCTTCACATGATTCCTGATCCCTGATGGCGTGAGAAGTCTCCGACTGACGCACCCTCCTCCACCTTCTTCTCCTCCTCCTCCTCCTCCTTTTCAATGTTCTTATCATGATGTTCATCATCATCATCATCATCATCATCATCATCATCATCATCATCATCATCATCATCATCATCACCATCATCATCACCATCACCATCACCATCACCATCATCATCATCATCATCATCATCATCATCATCATCATCATCATCATCATCAACATCATCATAATCATAATCATCATCAAAATCATCATCACCGTCATCGGCATCATCATCATCATCAGCAGCAGCAGCATCATTATCGTCATCTGCATCGTCATCGTCACCATCATCATCGTTGTCATTGTGGTTATCATCATCAGCATCATCATCATCGCCACCAGCCTTCCCATCATCATTCGCATCATGGTAAGTATCATCATCATGAGCATCGGCAGGTCACAAAAGTAACATCATCAGCATCATCATCATCACCATCATCAGCACCACCACCATCACCATCACCATCCGCATCTTCATCAACATCAGCATCATCACCACTATCCCCATCATCAGCATCATCACCAGCATCAGCATCATCATCACCAGCATCATCACCATCATCATCAGCATCAGCATGAGCATCCGAATCATCAAGACCATCATCATCAGCATCATCAGCATGATCATCATCATCATCATCATCATCATCATCATCATCAGCATCAGCATCAGCATCAGCATCAGCAGCATCATAATCATGATTATCAGCATCAGCGGCATCATAATTAGCATCAGCATCATCAGCATCATCAGCATCATCATCATCCTCATCATCCTCATCCTTATCATCAGCACCATCACCATCACCATCACCACCATAATCAGCATAATCATCATCATCATCATCATCATCATCATCATCATCAGCATCATCATCATCATCATCATCATCATCATCATCATCATCATCGTCATCCCTCTCGTCTTTCTCATTATTCCTTACCTAGGCTCTGCCTAGAAGGGTTCTTACTCTCTTTCTTAAAGGGGCTGGGCAGTGCACACCGCCCGGGGCGGTTCCCTCAGTATCCGCCCCGCGGTTCCCCCAGTTACGTCCCCTTAGCTTAGCGTTGCTTATCTCATCTTAGCTTAGCTTAGCATAGCTTAGCATAGCACAGCATGACATAGCATAGCTTAGCATAGCATAACATAGCATAGCTTAGCATAGCACAGCATGACATAGCATAGCTTAGCATAGCATAGCATAGCGCAGCATAGCATAGAATAGCATAGCATAGCGCAGCATAGCATGGCATAGCATAGCAACTAATGCTGCTTTCCTAGGGGCTCCAACTTCTAGGTAGGGTCGCACTGGGGTAATTTTCTGTGCTCCCTCCCTTCCTCGTCACACGTCGTTCGTCCGCCGATCTCCGTCCTCTGCGCGCCGTCCTTTTGTTACTCTTCCTAGTCTGTCTCCCCCTGATGCTGCTCCTCCTCATCCTTCTCGTCCTCCATTTCGCTCGTCCTCCTCGCTACCGTCCTCCTGCTGCTCATCATGTTCCTCCTCCCCCTCCCTCCTTCCTCCACCAGCCTCCTCGTCCGCTGCCACCTGCTCCGCCTCCACCTCCTCCACTGCGTCTGCGTGCTCCTGCTCCATCTAATCGTCTTCCCCCTCTTCCTCCATCCGTCCTCGCATTTCGCTCCTCTCTCCTCTCCCAGCCCCATGCCAATCGTTCGCTTCCTATCTGTCATCCTTATCTCTCTTCTCACTCGTGCTGAACTGCCACTGTCTCCTTTCGCATTGTGCTCCACATTGCTCCTCTCGGCTCGGCACCCTGCCGGAGCACGAGGGACTCCTCTCTCGGCCTCCATGGGACGTCGCATCGCATCACCCTGACATGCGCCGACATGATGTTTTCAATCTGCGACCCCATGTCTCGCTCGCTTCCCCGGGTGTTCTTCGTCTGGGACTCATTTCTGATGACCCGGGGGCCCAAAAACGGCCCCCGAGCGCCGAAATCGAGGAAACAACACCAATTTGACAGGAGATCTGGGCATTGGAGGCGGCAAGGGGTCTGAGCTGGATGAGCCGACAGGAAATTTGTAACGGGCGAGGCAATGGCACATTTTTATCGAAACTGACCAACTGTTCGAGCCGCGTCCACCCGTGGCGATGAGTAGGGGCCCTTTCTCTCTCAGATCTGCCGGCCAGAACAGGTGCTGGGCCACCCCAGCCCCCCCGACGGCCCCAATCTGTCGGAGGCCTGGAAATGGGCACCAACACCAACACAGGGGGTTGCCTCCGCCAGGGGAAGACGATCCTAGATCTCGGTGTTGGTGGTACTCTCTCGGCCGCATTATAGGAAATCAAAACATTACCACCGTCACCGAGACCGGGACACTCCTCCCTCGGTGGAGGCACACCGCCAACATTGGTGTTGGTGTCAACCTCTCGGGTCGGGCGAAAGGGGGGGATAGCAAAGGGGGGGTTTGAGAATCAGCTCACGTAGCTGATTTTCCCGGCGCTCCAGGCGCCGGAGGCGGCTAAGTATCGAGGAATGGGCCCCTAGGTGAGGCCGAAACCAGCTGCATGCCGCAAATTTCGTAGCCCCCCCTGTCCCAATCCCCCCCTTTCGCCCGGCCCGAACCTCGGAACCCCGAGGGGGAGAGGGAGGAGGAGGAGGAGGAGGAGGAGGGGAGGAGGAGAGGAGGAGGAGGAGGAGAGCAGGAGGAGGAGGAGGAGGAGGAGGAGGAGGAGGAGCAGGAGAAGCAGGAGGAGGAGGAGGAGGAGGTGGGCCTCTGGGCCTCCGAGTCTGGGCGCCCCTCCCGGTCCTCGCGTGGGACGACCGCCGGTGGAAGTCGCTGCCACGGTCCGGGCGGGGCGCCGAGGCAGAGCGCGACATGCCGCCGACCGGGGCCGCCTGCGGCGGGCCGCCGCCGCCGCCCCGCCGGGAGCGGCGAGCGGCGACGTCGCGCGACGCGCGACGCGCGGAGACGACGACGACGACGACGACGACGACGACGACGACGACGACGCGCGACGCACGACGCACGACGCACGACGACGACGCCGACGACGACACACGACGACGCCGACGACGACACGCGACGACGCCGACGACGACGCCGACGACGACGACGACGACGGCGACGACGACGACGACGAGCGGCGATGGCGAGCGGCGGCGCGGCGCGCAGGTCTTCGGTACCGTCCGGGGCGACGTCAGGGACGGGACGGGGCCTCTCGGTCGACGGCAGGCTCGTGTCGTGACGACCCAGGCACTGGCTTCAGAAACCACGAGGATCGTTCAGCCTTGACGATCGGCGGCTTCTCGATCGCTGGATCGTTCCATACTTGCCGATGCTGGGCCACTGGCGGCGTTCCACCTTGAACGCGCGCGGCGGGGTCGCCGCCGCGTCGGCACAACACGTACCGACCGTAAGCATGCTGGAAACGGATCCTGGAGGAAAAGGTCCTCGATTTCTCCCACCGCTTCTCGCCCCCTGGGAGCCCTCCGCGGACCGCAGCGCCGTCAACAAGGGATCCTTAAAGGGGCCCCAGGACACACAAATAAATATACACAAATAAACATATCCCCTATATTTTCCTCTATTTTGGGGTTTTCGTCTTCCCCCCCACTGCCCATGTTTTCCCATATTTTCTGGGGAATCGACGATTAATTGTGTCTGTGTGTTTCTTCCCCTCCGGAATCCTGGGGTCTAGGACCCGCTCTCCTCAAGATCCCCTTCCTTCCTGCCGGGCCTGCACCGGGCCACGCCCGGCTGGTGGGAACCGCGAGTCCCCAAACCACTGGCGACGTGACAGAGCCTCAGGATGCCCGCTGCGGCCCCCTGCGGGGCCATCAAGACAACGGCCGGCGACGGCGAACGAACTGGCCTGGAGCACACGTCGCATGCAAAAATCGCGAAGCCAGAAGTCTGGGTTCGGGGATCTTCTGACCCGGGTCAATCCAGACCTGGGTCAGCAGGAAACCACAAACTGCAATGCAAGAAAAAAAACTGCAACGCAGGTCTGCGCAAACCCGGGTCAGCCAATCTGTGCGGCCGCCTCGCGGTCACGAGAGGCTCGCTAACCCGGGTCAGCCAGAGGGGGTCTTCGCAGGATCCTGCAGGATCTGGCGCCCTGGCTGACCCCCGTTTGCATTGACCCCCGTCTCAAGGCTCCCGATGGGTCACCCGACACCGCGCTCCGGGCCGCGCGAAGCACGAAGCGCGAACATACCCGCGCCCTCGCGCCGCCCATCTGGGGAAGGGCATCTCCAGCGCACCGTTCCTGGCTATGCCAATCGGAGTGCTGCGGCCGACCGCATGCATGCCCAGAAATGCGGCCGGGAACTAAGGAAAAGGATGGGTATTATATCCTGGAAGGAAGGGCCCGTACCTCACCTCTCACATCCGAGGCACGGTGCCGAGATGGGGCCGAGTCCACTGGATGCACGGCGCCCCAGGGGTGCTGGGGGTGCCGTTGAGAATGCGCATTTCAGAAATCGGTTTCGCCCCCACAATCTCTCTACAAGCCTTTCGGCCGCTGTCGCCGGCATTCCTGAAGAGGCCCTGGGACAGTGGGACACACAAATAAATACACACAAATAAAAATATCCCCCATATTTTCCCATATTTTCTGTGTTTTTGTCTTCCCCCCCACTTCCCATATTTTCCCATATTTTCTGGGGAGTCGACGATTCATTGTGTCTGTGTGTTTCTTCCCCTCCTGAATTCCACCCTTCTTGGCCCGAATTGTAAGCACTGCCCGAGCTGCAGCCAATGAAAAGCACCAGAGGCGCTCCACGCGCCCCCGGACGGCGCCAGGCTGGCCCAGGAGGGCGCAAGGCGGCGCCGAGGTGGGCCACACCAGAATTCGCAGAAGGCATCTATACACCACCTCTGTGCCAGGCCAGGGCTATCCTGGCCCTGGCATGGTGTATACGCCACTCTGGCCGAGGCAAGGAGGGTCTATACGCCATCCAGGGGCCCAGGATGGCCCTGGCCTGACACGGTGGTGGTGTATAGATGCCTTCGTCGGACAGAAGGACCCCACGATTGCTCCAAGACGGCACCAGGCGCCCAAACAGGGCCCCAAGTAGAACCGCAGACGCCCAGCAACGCGAGGGGTCTGGAGGAGCTCAGTGGGCGCCCCAGGCGAGCAGTAGGCCCCCAAGACGGTCCAGAATAGCTTCAAAGCGAGAGGGCCCAAGAAGGCGTTAAGAGGCCTCCACGACTTCCAAAGAGAAAAAAAACGCGAAGAAGGCCAAATACACACCAGCCAACGAAGCCCCAAGAGGCGCCAGGGTGCCCTCCAGAGGCCCCCCCAAACGCCGGTGTTTCAGCCCGAAGGGCGGAAATGACTCGGCGGAGGTGTGTACGGGTAACCTCAGTTGCTCGTAGTATTGATCACCACAAATCCCGAACGAAATGCGATCCGGACAGAGTGACGTCACAGGGGTGCATTTCTACTTGAAAATGGATGCAGTAGGACGTGTCGTTAATACTTTCGAATAGATGACAGGGTTTCCTTTGGGAGTGACCACGCTCAACTAAATCACACCTTCCAGAAAACAGTCAGGCCCTGAACAAATTCAACGCGGGGCGGGTTGCGGAACGTCTCTTTCCCGATGCTGGCGGTGGCTCTCCAATTCGCTGCCGACGATTCTCCAAACTGGCTGGCTTGGAATTGGGTTGAAGGTGAAACATAACCCTAATCGCTGCCGACAATCCCCCGAAACAGGCAAATCGTGACAACTCTTCCCTGTGAGCAGCAATTTTTCAACGCACAGCACCAATAGATGCAGATGTTTGTTGGCTCAGTGGGCGCGCCAACTCCACTGTGGTGGGAAACGTAAGCCCACATGGCAATTCTTGAAGTTTTGCACTTTCACCCCTGTCAAAATCATTTGAACCTGCGGTATTTGTCACAATAGCTCTGGGGCGCAAGGGAGAAGGCAACCAATGGCACGCGGGCCCTAGCTCTTGCACGAGGGAACGGCAAGGGACTGGAGGGAGGAGAAAACTCTTTGGGCTATGCTAAGATATGCATGGGTCGTCTTCGAGGATTCTCTGACATCTTGGAGTCTGGCCTTGGAAGCCATGTTGAGTGGTGTGACCAAGGGGGAAGACCGGGGCAGACTATGGGAGGCCCGTGGGAGGGGCACGATGAAGAACGAGCGACGTCAAACGACCAACAAACGAAACTTGGGGCTCCGAGCTCTGGAACACTGACTGTGCAAGATTAATCACAACACTACCTGCATCAGCGTGGATTCCCAAATGCGGGAGTCCTAAGCTGCACCATTACCTTTCCTCATCCTGCAAAATCGCTGCAAATGGCCACAACATAATCAACACATGCACCCGACATGCTGCAAGTTGACACACCTGTAGAACTGGCAAGACGCTAGGACCGCTTCTTCCCTGCGGATAGAAGACGCACTGGGGTAGAGACGCAAGCCATGCATGAACTGTCCGCAAAATCCCAATGTCATGACACTCATCGACGAAGCATCGAGAGCGCGCCTGCAGCCCAAAACACGGGATACCGCTTTTTGAGCACTGGCGAGCGAGGCACTGAAACAATGTTCTACAGCACGCTACTTCTTCATGTGCATTCCTTTGCTGGGCGTGCTGCGCACTCGCGCCTCTGCCCGTTCTGCAACCACCGTGCACCGACCAAAGAAAGAACATGCCGCTCAATACTGCTTCAATCATGATGACAACGCCGTGGCCATCAAATATTCTAGCAACGACCGTGAAAAATACCGACACGCTGCTAACAGACGATCCATGCTGGCCGCCGTGGCCACCGTGCCAGCGCAAATCCACCAGGACACAACACTCGGATTCGCCAGTGTCAGCTAATTGCAAGCTGGTCTCTTGCAACTGCATCGCCAGAGACGGGCGGAGCCGATCTTCACTCTCGAGGGCGACACGCGAATTCGCTCACCAGCACTCGCGCGGGCCCTTGCGGCTCCTTTCGAGGCACAGGGACCCCTGTGCCGGCACCCTGAGCCTCGACAAGACCATCTGAAAAGCAGAACATCGCCATCGACCTCCCTAGAATGGCGCCGTCTCGCGCTCGACCCATATCGACGCATATCCACTCGCTGGGCAGCCTGTGTGAGGCAACAACCAATACGTCTTGTGCCAATAATCGGAGTCTCGATGCGACCCTCTGGATGACAAAACCTCACCACCGACCTCCTCAGATACCGTCAGAGCGCTTGACCTCTGTCAACGCGCATCGGAGCGTTGAGCAGCCTGTGCGAGGAACCAACCCATGAGTCTCTCGCCTGACACTCATCCCCCCTTTCAAGGCGCCGCTGTGTAAAGTGGCACGAAAACCAATGGCTGTGCCACTCATCGACGGGTCCCTCCCTGAAGAGAGTTTTCAGGGCCCCTGTCGAAGCTTCCAGCTATCGCTTGCCATCTTCATCCTGCGCCAGTTGCGCCCCCCCCCCCCCAGTATCAGATCGACCAAACGATTGCCGCCTCACGATGACAAGAGCACTCCAGATTCGCCCAAGACTTCAGGACTTCGCAAGACACCGCACACCTCCAACCAAAACATCAAACATTTGTTTGGCTTCGGAGCCAGAACCGCAGGAGCACACCGCACGATATTGTCGGTCGGGGGGAACTTATCGATGGCACCCTAACCAGGTGAATCCGAAAAAGAGTATGGCTTTGCATGGGGTGCTACTGCTGCAGGCCTGGCGCAACGGTGCAGGGGACGACCCTGTTGTCCCAAGGGCCTCCCAAGGGCACAGCTAGTGCCCTCTTTCTTATTACTAATATCAATATTGCTCTTTTGATTATTAGAATATATTGTTTGTTCGTATTCGTGTTCTTCTTCCCGAAAGGCTCCCGGAGTCCCAAGAAAACATATCATGTCCAGTGTGACCCACCCACAAACTTCAGAATTAATAAACGCGTTCAAAATGTGGGAGGCATGGACGCGTTTACAAGACACCTAACTGGGCGACGGGCAACTGCAATGCCGAAAGTATCGCTAGTGACGTACCGTGCCAGGGGCTGTGCAATGCTGAATTGAGATGCGCCATGTCGCGTTGCACTGTGCTGTCCTCTACTGCGATGTGGATCCATTCGTCATTGGCCTCTGAATCCTGACCCAACTGACATGAACCTTAAGCTTGAGCTCAGAGCTGGTTGCAACCGAAGCGTACGGGGCGCTAGCTCGACCTCAGTGGCTGGTTGCAATCGAACCCTGCGCGGCGGTGTTCGGATGGGATTTTTTGGGCGAGGGAGGTTCTCGGAGGGCTGTGAGGATTTCACGGGAGGGGGACGTTTTTCGACTGAAGGTTGGGGGGCACGTCTATTGATGAGGTCTTCGGAAGGGGAAGGTGTTCGGAAGAGAGGGGGACGTTTCTGGAGATGCTTTCCAAGGACGGGGACGTTTTGACAATGGGAGGTGTTCCAGAGGAGGAACATTTCAGGAGGGTCGGTGGAGGGCGAGGCTGTCGGAGGAGGGGACGCTTTCGGAGGCGAGGTGGAGGGGGTGTCGGAGGAGGATGAGGAGGAAGAGGAGGAGGAGGAGGAGGAGAACGTCTTCGGATAAGGGGGGCTTTTTCGGAAAGAGCGTTTTCAGAGGAGGGATACGTGCGTTCCCGGAGGAAGGGGGGATGGCTTCGAAGGAGGGGGAGGTGTTCGGAGGAGGGGGGCGTTTTGAGACGGTGGGAAGGCTGTCGAAGGAGGAGTCCGTTTTCGGAGGACGGGGACGCTGAAATATAATAACACTGAGATCTCGGAAATACTAAGCGGTGCATGCTTCTCGCTCCCCGAAGACACGTCCCGTCATCCGCCAAACCGTTGCCCTGTGCACCCTGGCACACGTGCTCGCGCGGCGCGCGCGCGGGTCCCCGATGCATTCGGAATAAATTCGAGATCTCAGCCACACTGAACGGGGAAAGCGTCTCGTTCCCCGAGGACGCTTTCCGATAGCCGCTGCCCGTTTTCGAACACGGCACCAGGGGCAGGCTTACCAACTCAAAGAGAACCCTAAACGTGGTACCCCGATCCCCTTCCTCCGCAATCCTCTGCGAGGGGCAACGATAGGGGGGGGACTGGCCTAGGGCCTAGGGGGGGATGCATCGACCTGGAATCGGCGATACATCGTCGATAGATCGGCGATGGGCCCCCGATCGTGAATCCGCACCTTCCTGGGCAGGGTGGGGCTCTCGGGTCCCTATCGGCGATCAATGGGCGGTTGGGGGTCGATGCATCTCCCCCTATGCCCATCCCCCCCTATCGTTGCCCCCGCCTCTGACACAGAAGCGCCCTACAGGTGCCTACCGGCGGGGCCCGCGTCGCTTGCGGCGTCCGCCCCCCTCCCCCCCCCCGGGGCGCTGCTCCGCGTGCGCCGCGCACGAGGGATCGCCTGCGCAGCGCTGCGGCAGCAGCAGGAGGAGGGAGGAGGAGAAGGGAGGAGGAGCGAGGGAGGAGGACTTTGCTTGCTGTGGACCGCTGCGTGCACGGCTGCCTCGGCGACGCGCCCGCAGGAGGGGGTTCAGATGGGTTTGAGCAGAAACGGCACCCAATCGAAGACAAGGAACACGAGCCCGGCCTCACACGTCAAGGAGGCTGAAGCCGGCCACATGATGCCGTCGCGGGCGGAGGACGACATGGGGGGGGGGAAAAGAGGAGGGAGGGAGGAAAGGAGGGAGGCATGGCCGAGGAGGGCGGGAGGAGGGAGGGAGGGAGGCGGACCCCGGGAGCGGAGGGAGGCCAGGCGGGGAGGGGAGGCAAAGGGAGGCGGGGGCGGGACGGAGGCGGGCGCCGGCCGAGGGAGGCCGGCGCAGGGACGCGGGCGACCTCTCTTTCTCAGGCGGCGCCGCCGCCCCCGGCCGGCGCTCCGCCCCCGGCCGCCGCGGCACCCGCGCTGCCCTCGCCGGCGCCCGCGGCAGCGGCGGCCTCGGCGGCGGCCGAGGCCTGGAGCACGCAGACGCGTCCGCTGGCGCCGCCCAGGGCCACCTGGGCGCCGAGGTGTGGGGAGGGGGCGGGTGCAGGAGGGAGGAGGGGAGGGAGAGGCGAGAGGGAGAGGGAGAGGGAGGGAGATGGAGGAGAGGGGAGAGGAGGGGGCGGGCTGGAGGAGGGGCAGTGGAGGCAGGTCGGGTTGGGGGGGGAGGAGGGGGGAGGGTATGGAAGGATGGCGCGCTCGTCGAAGCGGTGAGTAAATCCAAGCTTGAGGAGGGTGCGGGAGGGGAGAGAGAGGAGACGGAGGAGACGGAGGAGGAGGAGGATGAGGACGACGGCGATCAGGAGGGGGAAGCGAGGGTTCGGTGGTATGGAGGACGATCAGGAGGAGGACGAAGGATGAGGAGGAAGACCGCCTACCGGGCTCAAGGGGAAATCAAGGTCAAGGGGCTGCCGTGCGGATGCGCTGTCGCCGAGGAGGAGGGGGGGAGAAGGTCCCCCTCCCTTTGTCTCAAACCGTCGACTTGGCCCTCCTGCTCTTCCTCCGTCCGTCTCCGGGTCTCTCCACCCCCCCACGCGAGGCGCTGGAAAAACACCCACTAGGCCCTCCCCTCCTCCTCTCTACAACGCTCACTATGAACTCTGCAGCCACTTTTCTTGCGCATGCCGTTTTCAAACGCATAGGATGTCAAGCTGTTGTGGCATTTCATAGGGCACTCCTCATCGGAACGTCTTTCTTTTCACAGTGCAGCTCCCGCTGCAGCACTGGCCTCATCTCACGATCGGCGCTTTGCCCCCGTCGTTCAGAATGGCGCTCCCGCCCCAGCGCGAGCCCGATTTCTGGGTCGGAGTCCTCCCTCGGCGTTGTCGCCCCCATCTCCACTCCTCCGCCTCCCCTTGGCCGTCCGGCTCCTCCTCCTCCTGTTCCTGCTGCTTCGAGTGCTCCTGCTTCTGCTCCTGCTCCTGCTCCTATTCCTGCTCCTGCTCCTCCTCCTCCACCTCCTCCTCCTCCTCCTGCTCCTGTTCCTCCTCCTCCTCCTCCTCCTCCTCCTCCTCCTCCTCCTCCTCCTCCTCCTCCCCCTTCTCCTCCTCCACCTCCTCCAATGCACACAGCTTCCCTTGTCTGCTTGCACATAAACCAATGGGGTCATTTGGGGGTTCCATATCCGCTATGACATCCGTCGCCAGGCATAGAACAGTCAGTGCCATGGGAAGGGATGGGTGGGAGGGGAAGGATGTCTGATATGGCGCGAGCGCACCTGGCATGCCCTTCTCCCCTCTCCCTCCTCCCCCATCAACCCTCGCCACTCCTCCTCGCGTTCCACCCTGCACGCACCCCATCATCCTCATCCTCTCTTCTGCTCCTTCGCCTCCGCCTCCTGCCTCCTCCTCCTCCTCCTCCTCCTGCTCCTCCTCCTCCTCCTGCTCCTCCTCCTCCTCCTCCTCGTCCTCCCCCTCCCCCTCCCCCTCCCCCTCCTCTTCAGCCTTCCCCTTCTCCACCCCTCCTCACCCCCCACCTCCCTTCTCCCCCCCCCATCTCCCATCCACCGCGGCCACGGCACCCGCCCCACTCTCACTCGAAATGATTGCCCCCATTGCCCCACCCCCCTCCTCCTCGCTCCTCCGGCGGTGAGCGGCAGAGCGGCGGCGACGAGCGGCGACGGACGAGCGGCGGACCAGCACCGAGCGACCCCGACGGGCGATCGACCAGGAGCCCTCCCCTCGCGTCAGCCGCGCGAGGGGCGCCGGCCCACCAGGGGGTCCGCGCCGTCGGCCGACCTGCCGAAGTCCGCGGTGAGGCAGGTGAAGCCGTCCTGGCCGGGTCTCCGGTCTGGCGTGGGCGTGCCTCCGTCCGCCCCAGGTCGCGGGCCCCTCTCCCCTCGGGGGGTGCGGGGGCTGAGGCTGCGCCTGTGTCGTCCCAGGGGGGACGGCCCTGCGCGGGGCCAGGCGGTGGCGCCGGGGCGCGGGCATCACTCGAACGTCTGGGGGCCCCTCCTCTCGGGGGGGGGGGGGCGGTGAAGGGAGGAGCGTGGATGATAGGGTCGGGGCGGGGAAGGAGCGAGCCAGGAGGACGGGGGAGCAGGAGCAGGACAGGGAGGAAGGTGGGAGGACAGGAGGCGGAGGGAAGGTGGAGGAGGTGGAGGAGAAAGAGCAGGATCAGGTCGGAAGAAGAGCGGTAGTCGGAGGCGGAGGAGGAGAGTGAGAGGAACAGCAGGTAAGGGCGGAGGGACGACGGGAAAGCCACAGAAAGGAGCAGGAGCCACACGAGCAGCAGGAGGGAGGAGACGCCGTGGTCCAGCGTGCCAGCCGCGCTGGTCCAGGCCCTCCCCGCCGGAGAGCTGGCGAAGACCTGCCGAGGGAAAGCGAGGCGCGGGGACGGAAGGGGGAACCCTCCTTCTGCAGCACCTCCCCATCCATCCTCGCCCTAATCACCCCTCGTCCACGTTATACTCCTCGTACCCACCCCCACTCCTAGCCCTCATCCTCGCCGTCGTCGACCTCGCCCTCCTCCTCATTTTCCTTCTCCTCTTATTCCTCGCCCTCGTCCTCGTCCCCGTCCATTGTTCCGTCCGCCCGTCCTCCTCTTTGATTTGACTTTACAATCCCATTCGAGCAATGATGTCACTTCCACTCCACTCTGTTCTGGGTACGCCTTGCAACCACGCACCGTAAACAATTCTTGACGCTTCGCGTATCCCCACTTCGTGCACCCGCTGCTTCGGCCTATGCGCCGTCGCCGCTAATTTTTTCGCTCTCTGGATCTGTCCTTGGAGCCGCCAATCAAACAGTATCCCCACTTGCTGCAGCCCCACAGCAACTGCTTCTGAGTGCTGGCCCGGCCGCTTCGCTCGAGGCTCGCGCGTAGTTAATTAGGCAGGACCGCGCCCCGGACCTCTTCTTCGGCGACTGCGTGACCGCGTCAGCCCGCGAGGAAAAAAGTATCCCCACCAGCCCATCCAGAAACGATCAGCAGGGGAGTTGGTGAATCAGGGGCGGCAGAACGCATGCAGCCGCGCAGCCGTCTTCGAGAACACAAGCATCACGCATAGCTTCCCGCATTGAGTTTACGATGGAAATCGGTGCAAATTGCGATGGTGCTTCGATGAGAGGTGAGGGGCATTTCGATGACTCGTAATGGCTGTTGCACTGATTTGTATCTTAAACTCGCGTGCGTTCCGAAACTTGGAGGCATCTTGGGGCCCTCTTGGGATTCTCTTTGGCCCCCCTTGGGGCCTCCTGGGGCTCTTTCTTGGGGCTCTCCTGAGGTCCTCTCAGGGCCTTCTTGGGGCTTCTTGGGGCTCTTTTGGGGCTCTTTTGGAGGGTCTTGGAGCCCTCTAGGGGCTCTTTGGGAGGGTTCTGGGAGGCCTCTCGGGGCCGTCTTGGTCCTTCTGGCTAAAGAAGGGGGGGGGAGAGGCAATTCTTGCCCCCCTCTTGCCCCCCCCCTCGGAGGCTCAAAAATGCCGTCTTGGGACCCTCTTGGCCCCCTCTTGGAGCGCTCTTGGGGCTCTCTTGGGCTCCTTTTGGGGCTGCCTTGGGCCACCTTGGGGCCATCTTGAGGCCTCAAGAGCCCTTCGGAGGCGAAAAAGCGAGAAGGTAAAACACATTGATTTTCCTTAGGTTGTTGAAGGATTTTGGCCTCTTGGGAGGGTCCTTGGAGGCCTCGGAGGGCACTTGAAACCGTCTTGGGGCCGTCGTGAGGCCTCTTGGACGCGTGTCGGAGGCTATCTTGACCCGTCTACCGCTATCTTGGGCCACCTTGGAGGCCATCTTGCGCTCTCGGAGGCCCTCTTGGAGCCATCTTGGGCCATCTTGGACGCTGCTATGGGCCTGTCCCCCCCGTCCAAACGCAGGGAGGGGGGGGGGGGAGAGGTAAACCTCCCGAGCAGGGAAAAGCAGGAGGTTGGAAAGGGAAACGCCGTAGACCATCTGCGCCCAAAAGGCTGGTGGGATTCGTGATGGCATCGCCGAGAAAATGAATAAACCCTCAACTTGCTCGGTCAGAACGCCTACGTACGGACCACAGGGCGAGGAAGGACACAAGTCCCCCCAGCTCGCGACCAAGTGGCACTCGAGGGGGGGGGGACCCCCAAAGCCCCCCCCTCAGGAAACGCCCCGCCAAGGGCGAACGAGGAACGGCGTCCAATCCCACCCCCCGCGCGGTCCCGCAAGGAGGGTTCGCGCGCAGGCTTCTCCTCCTCTTCCTCCTCGTCCTCCTCCTCCTCCCCTCCTCCCCTCCTCCTCTTCCTCCTCGTCCTCGTCCTCGTCATCCTCCTGCTCATCCTCCTCCCCCTCCTCCTCCTCCTCATCCTACTGCTCCTCCTCCTCCTCCTCCTCGTCATCCTGCTCCTCCTCCTCCTCCTCCTCCTCATCCTCCTCCTCCTCCTCCCCTCCTCCTCCTCCTCCTCCTCCTCCTCATCATCTTCCTCCTCTTTATTATCCTCCTCCTCCTCCACCTCCTCCTCCTCCTCCTCCTCTCCTCCTCATCGTTCTCCTCCCCCTCTTCCTCCCCCTCCTCCTCCCCCACCTCCTCCTCCTCGTCCTTCTCGTCGTCCTCGTCCTCCTCCTCCTCGTCCTCCTCCTCCTCGTCCTCCTCCTCCTCCTCCTCCTCCTCCTCCTCCTCCTCCTCCTCCTCTCCTCCTCTCCTCTCCTTCTCAGCGTCCCCCTCCCCTCTTCCTCCTGCTCCTCGTCCTCCTCCTCCTCCTCCTCCTCCTCCTCCCCTCCTCCTCCGCCTCCTCCTCCTCGTCCTTCTCGTCGTCGTCCTCCTCCTCCTCCTCCTCGTCCTCCTCCTCCTCTCGCCTCCTCCCCCTGCTCCTCCTCCTCCTGCTCCTCCTCCCCCTCCTTCTCCTCCTCCTCCTCCACCTTCTATTCGTTGATTATTCATGTTAGGTCTACGTATAGCTCTCCTCTCTCATTCTCCTCTCCCTGGTCCGGACCTCCTGCAAGCTTTTTCCGAATGTTGTCCGCAACAGCTGGTGGAACACAGGTGCTACTCGATGTACCAGCATCTGCGCCAGCACCACGACCCTAGATGCGTGTAGAGAAAAGGAGAGGGCGGGAGTGACTCGCTAAAGGCGTCTTATAAACAGAGATGCATGAAGAGGCGTGGCACGGTGTTCTGTCTCTCTTCCAGCCTCGAGGTTCTGTTCAAGCTGTCCTTAGATAATCGTCGGCCTGCCTGCGCACCTCCGCTACCTCGCAGCCTTCCCAGGGCCTCCCCGTTCCGGGTCGGCGAAACCTGCCGCAAGGCCTCTCCAATCAAGACCGCTCAGGAATCCAGGCACACATCTATATACATATATATATATATATATATATATAGATATGCGTGCATATGTATATATACATATGTATTTGCATACATGGATTGCACATTTGTATATCGGTCTATACATGTACATCAATACATATATATATATGTGTGTATACACTATGTGTATATAGCATACATGACAAGCGGCAATGGCTGCGGGCAGCACGCGGAGCCCGAAATTGGGAGTCCACCCTCGGGAGTCCCCCCGCGAGTGGTGGACGAAGGCCAAGGGGAGCCCGTCGTCCCCCGCTCTGCCGCCGGGGAGCAGCGGCGCAGGAGAGGATTGGCCGTCCCTGCTCCTCCCTGTTCCTCCTCCCCCAAGGGGGTTCTGAAAGCAGGGTTGAAGTCGGGCGTGTCCCTCCACAGGAGGACTATTCAAGAATAGCCGACCGACACTCCCAGGACGACTGTTGGACTGTTTCTGGTCAGCTTGACGTATTTGGGTGGTATGTTTCACTTTTCGTCTCAAATCCGCCTGCAGGGGGAGATGCCCGACCTAAGCGCAGAGCAGAGGTGCGCAAGGGGCACGGGCTCGTCCACGCACGGTGCGGGCCCGCGCAGCCTCGAGACCCCGCCTCCGCTGCCTCCAGGCTGCTCAGCATGTCTCCCGAGGGTGCGCAGGGGGAGCTCCAGCACGCCGGAGAGGCCACAAGGACATGCAAAAGGGCATCAAGCGAAGACGGCACCAGAGTCCCCGAGGACTCCCCAGGGCCGCGAGAAGACAGCCAAGAGGACAGAAGAGAAGCAAATTCCGTTGACTCTGAATCTGACGAGACTCGCGTTCCTCAAGGCGGCCCGACGGGCCACCGGCCCCAGATGGCTCAAGAGGACCCCTGGATGGCCCAGAGACCACTAAGACGGCCAGACAAACCCTCAATATGGCCCGAAGAGGGGTCTCTCGTTGGGGCCCCGGGAGTCCTCCCCCTAAGGTGAACCTCAAGACCCCGACATGCCCCCAAAAGCCTTGAAAAGGCCCACAAGAGGCCGCCCCCAAGGCCTCTAAAAGGCCGCCCCAACAAAACGTACTAAACAACATATACGCAAGATGAGCATGAATCCGCAATCTACACTCGGGCAGCGCAATGGGATAGGAAGCCGCAAACAGAACGTGCGAAATCGGAGGCCGCACCTATCCCGACTTCCAGCGGAATGGCGCAAGCCTCTCGGAGAGCTCATCACGTCTATCATGACCACATTGTGCGCATGGCCTGGTCGACTCAGAGTGGGCCTCCTCCAGCAGGGCGGGGCAAGGGAAAGGGAGGGGGGGACTGGAAGGGGGACGGGGGGGACGGGGGGGACGGGGACGGGGGACGGGCGCCGACACCGCTCCGCGCGCATGCCAAGAGCACCTACTGCGTAGGACGGCGGTGGAGGACAGCGGGGAGGACGCAAGCCCCCCCGCTCTTCCCTCCCCTTCCCTCCGCACTCCTCCTCCTCCTCCTCCTCCTCCTCCTCCTCCTCCTCCTCCTCCTCCTCCTCCCTCTTCCTCCTCCTCCTCCTCCTCCTCCTCCTCCTCCTCCTCCTCCTCCTCCTCCTCCTCCTCCTCCAGGGATCTTCTGACCCGGGTCAATCCAGACCCGGGTCAGCAGGAAACCCAAAAACTGCAACGCAAGAAAAAACTGCAACGCAGGTCTTCGCAAACCCGGATCAGCCGATATGCGCGGCCGCCTGGCGGCCACGAGCGGCTCGCTGACCCGGGTCAGCCAGAGGGGGTCTTCGCAGGATCCTGCAGGATCCAGTGTCCTGGCTGACCCCCGTTTGCATTGACCGCCGTCTCAAGGCTCCCGACTCCTCCTCCTCCTCCTCCTCCTCCTCCTCCTCCTCCTCCTCCTCCTCTCCTCTCCTCCTCCCTCCTCCTCCTCCTCCTCTCCTCCTCCTCCTCCTCCTCCTCCTCCTCCCCCTCCTCCTTCTCCTCCTCCTCCTCCTTCTCCTCCTCCTCCTCCCGCTGGGAAGGGGAGGAGCAGAGGGGAGGGGGAGCGGACCCGCCCACCCCACGTGCGCGGCCTTCGCCTCTCCGCCGCCGGGGTTTGCGAAGGAGCCACCTGAAGGCGCACAGTGCGAAGCGGAGGACATCTGCGGAGAAAGGAGGACGGGCAGAAGGGGGAAGGGGGAGGAAGAGGAGGGGGGGGAGGAGGAGGAGTAGGAGGGGAAGGAGGAGGAGGAAGAGGAGGAGGAGGAGGAGGAGGAGGAGGAGGAGGAGGAGGAGGAGGAGGAGGAGGAGACCCGATCCCATCTGGCAGGTTATCCGAGGCGCCCACACCGCTAGATGCCTTATCCCCGCGCCAGAGCCCGTGCCCTGGCATCCCGTCGGCAGATAAGGCGGAACCGGCCTGCAGCCAGCCGAATGGCTCGCGATGTGCTTCGGGCCCCCTCGGACCTGAGCTTATTAAACGTGTTTAACAGAACGTCGTGTGCTATGGCGATGGAGACAATTTCATCGCGCGAGAGAGGCAAAGAAAAAAGAAGGAGCCCAGCAAACACCTCCGCCCCGCACCAAGGTGGGGGCCTAGGCAGATTGGCACGCATCACTCCGAGAAGGGCAGGACAGACAAGGTAATGCACGATCTGGTCACCAGCCATACATTGACATCCGAACCTGCATCCTAGCGTGGCCTGGCGGTATCTCCGAGAGGTTTTCCAAGCGTTGCATATACTGCGCAGCAGACTGAGTTGAACAAAGGGAGCAATGTGCTGGCCGACCACTTTTAGCCGAGAGAAACACAGATGGGCTTCGGGAGCCCCTACTTGCCCAGCTTCAGGAAACCTCGAAGCCCAATGCTGAAGACGCCTCAGGATAAGCTCAGGAAAAGGGACCAGGGGTTGGTGGGCGAGCACAAGCTTGGTCATTTTCTTCTGAAGCCCGTGCTCGAAGACGGTGGGGGCTGACGGGATTCGGGATAATTCACGATAGTTTCTGGTTCATCATTACTACGAAAGACTTGGTATAAACGGGATGAAGATGAGCGTCCAGATGGCATTCGGGGTCCTCGAACGCGTCCTCGATTTTCTCGATGCAGGCGAGAAAGACGGAAGAGGCGAGGGTAGCGCGATAGGCAGCGTCACGAGCTTCGTGTGTGAGAGACCTGGCCCGAGATAGTTTCCCCCCCAAGAGACTTCATTCCCACCAGCATATGATCAGACAAGGCATGCCGAGGAGCACATGTAAGCGACTGCAGTCCGAGATGCACCTGCCAACTGCACTCGGCCGTAGGCGGAAAGAACTGGGCAATGAACATGAGTACCGTGACTGCGATCTGGTTGTACGCCACGAGAGACATCGACAGGCCTAACTTCAAAGACTTAATGAAGCGGCATCGGTCGCGGAACTTGACAAGTGGGGCGGCCCAAGACTCTTCCTGGGCCCTGATCCCGCACATCACTCCGAGATACTTGGCGCACCTAGACATCCCGAAGCTCCGAACTCTGATCCCCTGCCGTTGAAACTTCCTCTCCTCCTCCTCACTGTTAAAGTCGCGGTGAACTAATATCACCGTTTTTTTGAAGTTCGGAACGAGGCCCGCGGCGTGCCCTGCAAGCATCATAACTTTCATGAACATGGGCACGGCCGTGTAGATATCAAAGGCGGCGGAGGCGACATCATCGGCGAAGGCACCGTGCAAATGGACAGGTCGGGGCAACCGAAGACAGAGCAAGCGTAATATCGGGTCGAACCCCAGGGCGAACACACTTCCCGAGAGTGGACATCCTTGCTTTATCCCGCGGAGGATACGACAAGAGCAGTGAGACACCCCGCCCAGGAGAATGGTGGTGGTAACCTTGGCGTAGAGCGTCTTTATTGCATTCAGGGCAAACTCGGGAAAGTTCATTTTCTCGAACACGAAAAATATCCAATCATGGCATAAACTTGGGAAAGCGGCCTTAATGTCCAGCAGGATAGCGCCTGCAGTCTGTCGCCACAAAAGGCCTGCTCCTACGACCATGTGAGTCTCGAACTCAATCAGATTGTCAAGCATGTTACGGTGTTTGACGAAGCCCCTTTGGATCCCAATAGTGGTGTCCACGCAAGCCTCCTTCAGGCGGCAGTTGATCGCGACAGCGACAATTTTGTTGATCGAGTTGGAGAGGGAGATGGGACGGGTCATTTCAGGGGTCCTCCAGAGCTCGAAGCCGTCGCGATCCAGGGAACCTTGAGGGAGGAAGACAGAGTTGCTGAGGTTGAAATCGTCTGACACCTGGCCGAAATCCATGATATGCTGGTACATGGCGTAGGCGGCCCACCTAACAAATAAGTTCCCTTTGGACCTGGCAGAGCAACTTAGCCCGTCAGGGCCAGGGGCGGAATCGTGAAGCCGATCCAAAACTCCGTAAAACTGTTTTTCAGAGAGCCTCCAAATCTGAGCCTCCCTCGCTTTTTGAATATGTTCCTCCAGCTGGTCCCTCGCGGCAACTTGGGATGAAGCAGAGGCGTGGACTTGACTCCAGTGAGCGGCTAGAGCATAAGCCCCAGCCTCAGCAGTCGGGAAAGCGTTCCCCTCGGCATCCGTGATGCCCGTGAGGAATATTCTGCGATTCGTCGGCGACCAGGCCGATACCAGAGGAGGAGGAGGAGGAGGAGGAGGAGGAGGAGGAGGAGGAGGAGGAAAAGGAGGAGGAGGAGGAGGAGGAGGGAGGAGAAGGAGGAGGAGAATGAGGAACACCGTGCGAGACTTTCAGCAGAGCTCGAAGACGGCCACCCCCGAGTAAGTCCAAGCAGTCCAGGGTAATCAGGTCCATCGAAGCCCCGTTGGGAATGACCAGTCGTGGAGCCTCCGAATTGGGCCAGCTTGATGTATCTAACGCGTTGCTAAGAAAGGCCCTTCAATTTGATATTGCTTGTGTGGCCGTTAATGCTAGGTTTGGTATGGAACGCCCAGAGACGTTTCTTGAATAACACGTGCCTAGCATCTGGAGGATTCCGGAAATGCCCACGTAAACAGGCTGCCAAATGCTCGGTCTTTCCGCTTTGATCAGCGCGAGTTCGGTGACCCTAGTCTGAAGCCCACGCCCCTTCTCACATTTAAAGTGCCAGGCGTTGGGGAAGTTTTGAGAAGGCTCCGTAGACTAGGTAGGTGCGCTCACACGTTCGGACACCGTGCCCTGAAGGGCTGGATTCTCAGGGCAGGTTTCGGATAACTGATGATGCTAAGCATGTGCAGAACGTTGGCAGAATGCGTGCTGTGCTGTTCGACCTCCCCTTGTCCTCCGTCACCCCTGCCGAGAGTTTTGACAGGCTGTCTGATCATCTCAACGTGGCCCCTCGACCAATACCTGGACAGGCACCGGTGGGGGGGCGTTCACCCAGGATCAGGCTGGGAGGCCGAGGAGAGTGAACCTTCTTCTTCTTCTTCTTCTATGGTTTCACTCGTTGTATAATCGTCTATCGCGGTATCGTCACCCCATTGGCAGTAGGAACAGAACAGGCGGAGGAGGGGGACACAGAAAAAGAGTGGGAGCAGGAAGGAGGATGGGAGAGGGGGGGGAAACGAGGACAAGGGGGAGAAGAGGGAAGCGGGAGGGGGAGGGGGGAATGGGACAAAAAAGGAAAGAGGGAGAGCGATCAGGAGGGAGCGAACAGGAGGGGAAGAGAGGAAGACGAGAGAGGTGAAGGCGGGATGATGATAACGAGCAAGAAACAACAAGACATGCTGCAGCGCGGAGAAACAAAAAGCGAGAGAACGTAAGCGGAGGGAGCAATATGATAGGACACGCGCTGGGCTACACGATAAGACCAAACACGAACTGGTAAAGTCAAGCATTCACGACTGGACTGGCACGTCGGGCACTGTGCATGAGTCGCTGAAAACCAAGCATGGCGAGGACTTACGAATGCTGCCCACACCCCGAAGGTCAGCACCATTCCCAAACGCTTCCTTGATGCAAGCGTTCTGAATGCGCTAGCGTTGTATCAGCAATGGGACTATGAACTCAATACTAGAATTGAACGACACAGACGCTACGAACACAAGACGTGGAAAACCTGCTGCCACCCATGAGCTCTTGGCATCGTGGGAGAACCTTGCAGTGTACCTCCAGATGCGTGAAAACGGCGCGACGGCGAGGACTCGTCAGCGGTGGGGGCGAGCGAAGGCACCACGACGTAGCAGCGTCAGCGCTCTGATATCCAACCGCAGAATATGAATAGATGCACACATGTACGTGCACACACACACACACACACTCATATATATATATATATATATATATATATATCTATATATACACACAAATATCCTCCGGCCGCCCTTGTGGGGCCATCAGGCTACGAAGGTCAGGTTGCAGTACCCTGCACCAGTTGCAGATTCCAATCTCCAATGTTACAGTCCCGCTGTCTGCTTCCTGCTGCAAAGTGTTGGCAGTCCGCGTGAGGGGGGGGAGCCGAAAAGCGTGCGGTTACCACGGCCGTGGGGCACGTCACAATACACGAGACTGGCGCTCCCGACGCAACAATCCCTAATACTGTGCACTGTTTTCGCATCCCCGAGGCCACGATCCCTCGTAAATTGCGCGACGTTCGAGTCCCCGAAGCCACGATCCTTTTGTGAAATGCACCATCTTCGCACCCCTGAGGCCACAATCCCCCCTCAATGACCCTGCAGTCGCGCCTCTGGGGCCACGTTCCGCCGAAGATTACGCCACAGTTGCGCTCCCGAGGCCGCGAGCCATTGTAAATTAAACAATGCTCGCGTCCCCGAGACCAGTAACCATTGCAAAATATTTCAATGTTGCGCTCCAGAGGCAACGCACCCTCGTGAATTACGCAATAGTCGCGTCCCCGAGGCCATTCACTTTGACAAATTATGCAAGTTTCGCGCCCCCGATGCAACACATCCAACTTACTCATGGATTGCGTCCCCGAGGCAACAAACCCTAGCAAATTACAGTATTCGCGTCCCCGAAGCCAGAATCCCTCGTAGATTACGCAAGATTCGCGTCCTCGAAGCCACAAACCATTGCAAATTGTCCAATAGCCGCGTCCCCGATACCAGAGTCAATCGTAGACTACACAATGTTCGCACCCCCGAAGCCACAAACACCTGCAAATTGCTCAACTCGTGTGCCACCGAAGCAACAAACTTTGGCACGTTTTTCCATATTCTCGTCCGCATCGCCATAAACCCTCGCAGACTACACCGTATTCGTATTGCCGAGGCGCCCGACAATTGTTCCAAGACGGCCCAAGAGGGCCCCAAAAGGCCCCAAGAGCGCTCCAAGAGGCCTCCCGAGAGAGCCCCAAGAGGCCGCCAAGGTCGTCGATGTTTCAATAAGGTGTTCGGAGGATTTTGGGGGTTCTCGCATGTTCGGCTTTCCGACGCTCCAAGATGGCTCAAGAAGCTCCCAAGATCGCCCCAAGACAGCCAAAGGCGCCTCCGAGAGGGCCCCAGGACGGCCCGAGAAGGCTCCAAGATGGCCCAAGAAGCGTTCCGAGAAGCCCCGAAAACTCCTAGGAGGCCCCAAGAGGCGCCCAAGACGCGCCAAAGAGGTTTGGAAGAGGCCCACAAGATACCACACGAGGCCCCCAAGAGCCGCCGAAACCGCCTGCAAGAGGCCCCTGGGAAGCTCCCCACGACGCCAAAGTACATGTGCAAGAGGCCTCACACCCGCAACCCAGACACGGCGGCGGGATGGGCCGAAGGCCACTAGGATCCGCCGCCCCATGTTGATTCATCACAGGGGTGCCCGGCGTGCTAGACCCTTTCGCTTTCGGTTTTGGTTCTTTTCCAAAAGAACTCCCCCTGGGGCTTCGGCCCGTCCCGCCGGAGATGCGTAACAGGTGGTTGCAGTGGGTTTTTCGGCTCCAGACGGCTCCAAGATGGTCAAGATGGCCCAAGATGGCCTCCAAATTCGTCCAAGATGGCCTCGAAGACGGCGCAAGAGAGTCTAATCTACCTCCAAGTTGGCACAAGAAACCTCTCAGACGGCCAAAACGGCCTCATAGGCCTCCAAGAAGCCTCCAAAACTGCCCAAGAGGCCTCCAAGACCTCCACAAGGAAGGCCCGAAGAGACCAACATCATTGATTTACCTTCGGCGTTTGAAGGATTTTCGCGTTTGCTTCTTTTCAACTCTTCGACGGCCCAAGACGGCCCAAGAGGCCCCCCACATCGCCCCAAGAGCGCCCAAGAGGCCTCCAGGATGGCCCCATGACAAACCAAAAGGCCCCCAAGAGGGCCCCAACAAAACTCCAAGACGGCTCACGAGGCCCCCAAGACGCCCAAGATGGCCTCCAAGACGGTCAAGATGGCCTCCAAGATGCCTCCAAGACGGCCAAGAAAACCTCGATGACGGCAAAGATGTCCCCAAGATGGGCCCCAGATGGCCTGAAGATGGCCTTAGACTGCCCAAAAGGCCCGCCAGAGGCCTCCAAGACGGCCCAAGACCCATCCAGAACGTCCTCCAGGAGGCCCGAAAGCTCGGAAACCACCTGTTCCGATAGCTCGCCCGACTCCGTGTTCCTCGAAGGCTTTCGAAACCCACTCGGGGAACGCGTGGCCCGATAGCTTGGCCAAGCTCAAACCCAACTATCGGCCACGCAAGCGCTTCCAAAAAGGCAGGGGGCGGCGGTGGTTCGCCGTGGGCGTCTTCGATAGCGCCAACGTCTCAATGGCGCTACTGCTTCCGATCCGCCCCCGCATAATGTTCCTAGATGCGCCAAGGCGGCGCCGAGACGCACCGACGCGACTCGTTGTTTCCTCGCATGATAGAGAGGGGGCCGGCGGCAGGGGGTGAACCCCTTTTTATACGGATGTATCCACGCATATATATATATATATATATATATATATATATATATATATTATATATATGTACATATATATATATATTATATATATAATATATATATATATGCACACCTATAAGTGCTTATGCAAGAACTGACGGCTCGCTTCGCTTCGCTTCAGATCTTGGTCCGCATGAGGGAAAAGCAAGCGGGTCGGCGAATGAGGAGGGTAGTCGGTCAGAGAGAGACGGAGTAATGAATAAAGAAAGGGATATGTATATATATATATATATATAAATATATATAAATATATATATAAATATATATATATATATATATCGATATATACATAAAGAAAGAGAGGAGGGCGACGTGCTCGCTGCCCCTGGCCCGTCGAAGTTTCTGCAGCAGAGGCGCGTCGCCAGGCGGCCGCGACGCGGGCTGGCGAGCAGGATGGATGGACGTTGCCGTCTCCTTCCAACTAACCTCCGTTTCCTTCTCCGAACCCTGACGACGTAATCTTGCCGCGGGAGAAAGATAGTCGGGGAAGACAGGATACGGGCGAACGCAGGCAAAGGCGGGCGACACCAAAGACTGCCGCCGGCAACGGGTCGGGCGCCGAGAGAGGGGGGCGCGACGCGGACGGGCGACGTCGGCTGTCCCGCGGCGAATCGGGCGACTGGGCGCTGACTCGTCGAGTGGCGCACATTTCCAGAGCGCGAGGACCGGCGGGCGCGGGCGTCGTGCGGAACGGCTGTGCTCACAAGGGCACAAGAACCATGGGAGAGACTCCCGCGGCGGGCCGCGTGGGCAAGCGCTCGCGCCGCGCGCGGGCCGGGCGCTTCAGCGGGCGGCCCCCGCTGGAAGCAGACGGGCACGCCCGCCGACGTCGCGGCCGGGGCGGCGGGCGCGGGCCCCGGCGGAGGCGCGGCCGACGGGCCGGAGCTGGGCTCGCAAGGGGCCAAAGTGACAATGGCAGGGCGCTGTCTCTGGATCTCGGCGATGGCCTTCTGCGCCGCCGGGGGGGCGTTCGCGGCCGCGGCGGCGTAGCAACTGATCAGTTCCTGTCGCCCATGTTCTTGCGGCCCTCCCTTGTCAAGCGCCGACGCGCGGACAGCAGCTGCGCCTTCGCGGGCCGCGGCGCCTTCGCCCTGCCCAGGGGCGTCGAAATTCGCGCGGAAGAAGGCCTGGTCAAAGAGCGCGCCAGCAACTGCATTGGCGCGGGCGGCGGGCGCCGTGGCGGCGCGACCAGAGTTTCCGAGAGCCGCCGCAAAGGCCCAGGACTTCCCATCCGTTGTGTTATTCTGGGCGAGCGGCGGGCCCATCTGGAGTTCGCCGCGCGCAGCGCCCGCGGCGCAAGGGGTGGCTTCGAAGTTGCCGCCGCGCGGCTGGTCAAGCGGGCGCGCCATCTTCAACGCATTTGTCATCGTAGAACACCACCTGGAGGCCCGCGTCCACGACGGCGCTCGCGTCGAGGAGCTCGACTTGGACCTGCGCGGCGCGCGGGCTCGAGCAGCGGCGGCGCGCGCGCTGGCGACCCTCGGGGGCCAAGGCGGCGGCAGCTGCGTGAGCGGCGCAATGCTCGCGGTGGCAGCGCGCGAGGGTCGCCGCGCGTTCAAATGGGGCCAGCGCAGTGGGCGGGAGAGGAAAGGCGCTGGGAAAAGCAGCCCGCGACGAAGGGGGCAGCTCTGAAGACGGAGTCACGGACGCGCTGCGCGACATCGCGCCAGATAGAGGAACGACGCGGAGAAGCGACAACGGCAACGAGCACTGGAGGGCAGAGCAGGGGGGGGCGACGCGACCGCGACGCGGACGGACGGGGGAAGCATAACCGAAATCTCGCATTCGTCTCCCATCCCAAGGCGGCGGCAATGGGCGCGGGCGCGCGAGGGGAAGGGCGAGCGACGCGCGAGAACGCCCCTGCGAAGAGGTACAGAGAGCGCGGAGGAACTCCGGGGCGGTCCTGCAAATGGAAGAATTCGGTGGTCATGTGAAGCTCTACAAATCCGTCGGCGTCGACGTCCAGCGCGTCCGCGCTCAGAGAGTGGTGGCTCTCGCACAGAGCGCAGATGCGTCCGCCGCAGGAGCTCGGGCACCCCGTGGTTCTGGACGTCGGCGAGGGAGTTCAAAGCGGCCAGTACCTTGTTGTCAGAGCATGCGCGGAGGTCATTGGGACGCGGGAGCGCGTGCTCCAGCGCCGCGGCCACATTGTCGAGAACGGGTAACTCGACCAATGCAACGTAGCCAAGATCCCCAGAGGAGTTCTCGGTGAGGCGCGCGGACGCGCCCCCAGTGGAGTCGACCCAGGAGACGAAAGCTGGGTCGCTGCGTTGTCGGAAGCCTCGGTCGAAGTGGAACGCGGCGAACTTGGCCCACGAGGAGGGCGAGCGAACGCTGTTGAGAACCGCGGCGCTGCGTGCCGCGCGGGGGGCGACGGGCGGGATCTGGCGGAAATCCCCGCAGCGCGCACACTTCGGGGGCGTAGTCTGCGAGGTGGTGCTTGCGCAACGTGCCGAGATAGGATAGTACCGGCTCCCATGCGGCAATCTTGATGGATGGCTACTCGCCCCACTGGATCACGGCCGCTCGAGTGATGACCTCGACCGCGGCAAACGCCGCCGCAGCGCGCGCGAGTTCGGGGGCGTCGGCAATAGTGATTCCGAACGTGAAGCGCGCCGTGGCGCCGCGGGGCAAGGGGGGCGCAGCTCGTCCAGCGGGCGCGACGTCGACGACGGCGGCCCCCGAGGCTTCGATTGCATTGGTGATGCACGTCGTCGGGTTAGACTTGCCCGCGCCAGCTCGTCCTCCGACGCGGGGCGGGCTCCTGCTTGCGGGGCCGGCGCGCGAGAACATGGTCTGCAATGCGCGCTGAGCTGGGCAAGTCTCCACGAATGACTTCGAGCGGGCCACGTCTGCCGCGCCGAGGTTCGGTCGGGCGCCGGCCGACGCGTCGGAAGGGGGGGCCTCGTCGGGCTCATCGAGTTTCCAATGTGGCTCCAAGTTCCCACTTCCTCGCTAATTTTTACGGATCGTTCGCAGCAGCTCTCCTCGGACGGAAGCCGGGCTGAGCCCCCTGTCGAGGAAATCCTTCATGAGATCCTGTTCGCGCCGTTTGAACAAGGCGACGGGGGCTGCGCCCTGCTCCAGGAGGGCGCAAAAAGCAAGCCTGAGTTGGTGCGCAGTATAGTGCAGGGCAATGGGTTCATCGTGCACGGCCCCTGCCTCTTCGTTGGGCGCGAACATTCCAGCGGCGCGCAGCGCCTCCTCGTAGCTCGGGCACAGCTTGCCATGGTGTTTGCGGCAATCTCGAAAATCCAACTTCGGGACACTCAGGAGGCCGCGCCGGACGTGCAAGACCCCTTGTTGCCGCGAGAATTTCGTCTCGAGGCGGCGCGCGGGAGCTTCGCCTCTCTGGCGCGGGTACAAGAAATGCCGATTGTCGCTCGGCTGCTGGTCGACCCACGCAGGCTGGTCCGTCGGCGGCGCCTCGCGGAAGCGGTCGGGGAAATTGCCTGCGGGCAGCGGGAAGAGGGAGGGGGTCGACGATCACGGGGGGGCGGCGGGGGCGCCGGGGGGGGCGCGGAGGGAGACCAGCATCGAAGCGAGATCCCAGGTGGAGCGGCGACGCGAACGATGCCCCCCTGGACAACGATAGGGAAAGTCAGCGGTCGGTGATTAAAGTCGCGGCGATCCCGCGACGCGGACGGACCCTCTGCCGACGCTCGACGCGCTGTCGCATGGATCAATGAGGGCCTAGTACGTGCAAGGGCGCGGGCGAGGCCTCTGGGAGATCGATTGGCAAACGCGGCGACGGGTCCGAGACGTGACGCCAAGGGAGCAACGCGGACAAACCGCCCGGCCGACGCGCGACGGTCGCTTGGGCTCGCCAGGAGGGCCCTGGAATTTCATCGGGCAGTTCATGGACACCATGAACTGCTCGAAATGAAATACTCGCGGTAGAACCCGGCGGAGCGGACCCGCGTCGGGCCGGTGGAAGTAACGCGGCAGCGGAGAGGCTTGGCTGTCTAGCGCTGCCTGTTCTCGCCCCTCGTCGAATACTACCCAGTCGTCGTTGTCCAGGTGCGCGGGCAAGCGGGCGGCGCGCGGCCACCGGCCGTAGGTGTTGCATCCGAAATGCGCCATGCTGCTTCGGTAGCGCAGGAGGCGGTGGCCGGCGAGCCAGGCGCGTAGCTCGTCCTCCACGGCGGGGCCGAGAGTGACATCGTAAGACGTTTTGCTGGGGCCTTTGAAGAGGCATTTGTAGAAGTACTCGAACAGGGGGATATATCCAGCGAACTTGACGTTCGCGTGTCCGACCCAGAATGTGAGAACGCGCGGGTTGCATTCTACGATCAGCCTGTTGACGCGCGCGGGTCGCCGTCCACACGGTGGAGAAGCGCCCTTGCGGATGGGACAGCGGCCGTTCCAACGCCGACGGCAATGGCGGGGGTGCCCGCGAGCGTCGAAGGAGGTCTTCTCGGCGCGCAGCCATGGGCACCCCTTCGTGCAATCTCGATGAGGGCCCCGCGGGTGGCAGGAGTGGCTGCAGGAGCGCATCACGTGCTGAAGTAGCAGCTTCTCCAATTCTGGGCCATCTTGAAGTAGCTCGCGCGAAGCGCGCGCGCCCGCGGCCGCGGGGGCATTCTGCGGGGCGTCCGCGGCGATGACAATGCGCGCGCGAGGAAGATCTCGGATCTGGCGCTCGTGCGGACAACGATGCCTGGGAGGTCGGCGACATTTTGTCCTGGGGCAAAGGCAGCGCGGGTGTCGCGCCAGCACGGGTCTCGCGCGAGCGCGACGAAGAACGCGGGCGGGCCGCGCCGACGTGCGAGCTCGAGCGCATCGGTGCGAAGACAACGAAGATGCCGAGGATATCCAGGGACACTGCCAAGCAAGTGCCATTTCTTGGCTCCCACGGAGGCGCCCGCGGTCCCTTTCGCCACCGCCTCGCGGAGGCGTTTGCGCCAGGCGGCCCGAGCGTGGTGTCGGGCCCTCAAGTTGGCGAACCGCCCGGGGAGACTTGTTGTCTGCGCCGCCGCGTCAGGATGATTTTGCGGCCGCGCGTGCCCACCGCGTCGGCGGCCCATCCGCGCCCACCAGTCAGGCACCGCAGCGGGTAGCTAAAGGGCTGATGGAACGCACCGAACGGCGGTAGGTACGTTGGCTCGTCGGAGCCGCGGCATCGGGGGACAATCCAGCGCGGCGTCTGCGCGGGGTCGGCGGCGTAATCAACCGGCCCAGCCACCTCGTTGACTCCCTCGTGCCATTGTAAGACAATGCCATCTGCGTCAGCTTTCTTCATGGACTGCGAAAGCCGCCGGATAGTGGACGCGCGGCCGTTCTTCCTGAGAACGCGCAGCTCGAGCGTCCGTGCGATCCCTGGATGAAGTCTGAACTCGGTAGCTGCATCTGCCCTCTCCGCGGGGTCGTAGACGAAGCATCGCAATGGAACGCTATCCTGCGCGGAAAAGACTCGCCGGCACGTTGTGCCGCGAAAGCGGATGTTGGACGGCCGGCGGACGTCGTCGAATCGGATTTCCTTCTTCCCAATGCAGGACTGGACCTCGTGCTGCGCCAAAGTGAAGCTGGCATTGTAGCGGCGAAACGCCGCCGAAACTCCTGTCATGATGGGGCGTTTGGTCTTCCCGTCGTAGACGGCCCGCCGATCGTCGCCCTTCAGATGCCAGGTCCTGGCAAATACAGCACGCCGCCCTTCTGATGGCGGCGAGAAGTAAGCGGCGAAGTTCACCGCGCACAGGCCACTGCTACAACAGAACGACTGGGAAACACGTTCGTACAGCACTGTTTGACACTGGGGGCACGCGAACGACAGCCCGCCCAAGTCGAAGGTGAATGTGCGCGGTCCGCCGCGCTGCGGCGCGCACTCGTGGACGGACATAGCGTTCCCGCTATTGGTGTCTCCGCCTGCTAGCCAGTAGTCACGCTCTGACATCGCAGTGGTACTAGCGGCATGCCATGCCGCGCCGTGGAGTAGCAAAGCGATGGCCAGAACTGGCCACGCGCGCGTGACGCCCGCGCCACCACCAATTAACACATGAGGTAGACATCGTGAAATGTAATGGCGGCAAAAGATGGATGTGGGAGGCATCCTCCAATAATCTGATTTTTCCGATCCAGTAGCGGATTGACAGCTGCGCTTGCGATCCGGGTGAATAGATCGCCGGAAGCTTGAACAGCAAACGGCGGCGCGGACGCTCTCCACGCTCGCTACCATGTCACCCAACCTTCTGACCTAAGTTCAAAATCGGGGCGGGGTCGCTAGGTCGCCCAAGCTGGTTCCAATAAGGGCCTCGGGGAGCCTGACATGGCTTCCATGATGGGTCAAGATCCCTCGAGATGTTTCAGAATATCCTCCGACACGCATCCAAGAAACCTCGTGAGGGGCTCAAGACGGTTTCAAGCGCCCCCCGAGCCCTCCAAGGACCCCCGCAGGAGGCCAACATTCTCCAAGCACCTCGGGAAAATCAGCGTTTGTTGCCTTCTCGCCTTTTCGTTTCCGATGGGCTCTCGAGGCCTCCAAACGGCCCCGAGACGACCCGGGAGAGCCCAAACAGGGCCTAAGAGGGCCCACAGAGGGCCCCAAGAGCGCACAGCAACGCCCCAACAGCGCCCCAAGAGGGCCCCCGACGCCCTTTTCCTTGCGTCTCCGATGTCACGATCCCTCGTACATTACGCTATAGTCGCGCGCCCCGAAGCCACGAGCCCGAATCAATTACAGCAGAGTCGCGCCCCCTAGGCCACGATCCCTTGTGATCTACGCACTGCTCGCGTCGATGCAACACTTTCTAAGGAATTGTGCCGTGCTCACGCCCCGTCGCTGCCCGTCTTCTGGGCCTGCCCGTCGATCTGGAGTCTAAGAGGCTGCCGTCGCCGCCCCGTCGCCGTCTGGGCCTCCGTTACGTCGCACTGCGTCGCATTACTTTGCACTACATTTCGTTGATTATACTTGCTTGCTGTGCGCTGCGTTGCACTGCTGTGCGTTGCTCGGCGCTGCTGTGCACTACGTCGCATTGACTTGCAAAGCTTTGCATTGTTTTGCATTGCGTTGAGTTGCAATGCATCCATTGCTTTGCAGTGATGTAGGTTGCTTCGTAATGGTTTGCATTACTTTGTACAGTTGCATTGCTTTGCATTGCGTTGCATTGCTTTGCCCTGCAGTGCATTGATTTGCATTGATGTGCGTTGCTGTACGGTGCGTTGCATTGTTTTGCTTTGCGCTGCATTGCATTGCTTTCCTTTGCAGTCCTATGCATTGCTGCGCACTGCTTTGCACTGCTTTGCATTGCGTTGCATTGCAACGCATTACAGTAAATTGCATCGCACTGCCTTGCGTTACCTTGCAACGCTTTGCATTGCAATTCATCGTTTTGCGCCGCACATATTGCACCACATGGATTGCACCACCTAGATTGCGCCACATTGATTTCCACCACCTAGATTGCACCGCATAGATTGCAAGCCATCACTGTTTGGGTCCAAGGCTAACTAACACCGATTCTACACAACGCGGGGTCCAGCTGCTGGGATGGCCGCATAGCACATCAACACCACCCCAAGTCTGGGAAACTGGTGCCACGCTTCGAAGACAATCCACTCCTGAGGCGTGACAACACCCCTCGCTTGCTTCGGAAGGCGTCTGGCATACTCCGTTCAACACACGCGAGGGCTGCACGCTGCAAACACCGCCACAACGCTGGCAATACAAAACGCCGCGCAGCACTGCGAGGTGGTGGGAAGGATGACAAGGAGGTCGGCCAGGGGGTGATCCAGAGCGCCCACACAAGACCCCATCGGGCCAAGGTAATCGGAGGCGGGTCCAGGGTCCCAATTCTTCCACACCTCTCTGTTGGGCAACGGCTGAATTCGCTGCTGGACACGGGCAACGGGGCTTGCATGGGTCAGGGCAAAGCTCGCACTGCTTGCCATTCAAACTGAAGCTCCTGGCGCAGACAGGGCAATGCAGGACAGCATTTCTCGCCTGAGTCTCGTGTCCTGCATCTCTTAGATGGCACACTTGCTCACAAAAGCTATTGCTCTGGTGCTTGACGTAACGAGGCACCTTGTCACCAAATTAACAGTCGTACCAACAACTTTACGCTGCACAACAAGCGTGTCGAAACGCTACTGGCTAAAAATCGGCCTGATGGGCCCGAGAAGCATCAGGGTCGGACACAAGCACGCAAGCAAAAGCAGCAACAGCAGCAGCATCAGCATCGGCAACACATCGGCTGCACTGATCAACTATCAGCAAGCGAGCGACACATGCTCAGTCGTTAGGGATGGGCGGGATGTCCCAGTCCATGACAGGTTTAAGAAGCCCCTCGACTCCCAAAACCTTGTGCAAGATAGCCCACAGCTCTGGCACGATACACTAAGGCTTGGCCTTGGGAGACCTGCGAGCACCCCTGACAGTTCAGCACGATGGAAACGACCGCGGAGAAGGGCGGCGAAAACATTGAGGTCGGAAAAGGGGCGAGGTGGGAGGAGGAGG